TAAAAATCTTCACTAACACTCTAGTTGGTATAGTTCTCATCTTTTCTCTTTTTTTTTTAGCTAAAACAAAAGCATCCCTCGAGGAAATGCAGCAGAGAAGAATAGGAAAAAAACATGAGGATTATGAATGAAAAAGGCCCAGAGCTGAGTTCTGTCCCTGCTATGTGACTTGAGGCAGATCACCATCCAAGCTTCCTTCTTCTCATCTATAGAATAAAAAAAAAACCCACTGTCGTCAAGTCAATTTCGACTCACAGTGACCCTACAGGACAGAGTAGAACTACCCCACAGGTTTTCCGAGGAACTGCCAGTGGATTCAAACTGCCAACCTTTTGGTTAGCAGCTGTAGCTCGCCGTAGCCCCAAACCACTGTCCCACCAGGGCTCTTCATCTATAGAATAGGAGGAAGACTATCTGACCTAACTATTTTGCACAATGTCAGGATGATGCACGGACATAATGTTTGGCAAAGGGCTCTGCATAATAGGAGTTGGCAAACTCTTCTGTAAAGGGTCTCTGTAACAACTTTGTACCCAACTTTCCTGTTGCAGCACAAAGCAGCCACACACAATTCCTGAACAAATGAACTTGGCTGTATTCCAATACAACTTTATTTTGGACACTGAAATTTGAATTTCATATAAACTTTCACATTTTATTTTTTTAACCATTAAAAAATGTAAAAACCATTCTTCATTCATGAGCCATACAAAAATAGGTGACGGGCTAAATCTGGCCGGAGGGCTGTAGTTTGCCAACTACTGCTATAAATCATGTTACTGTTGTGTGTCATCGAATTGATTCCAATTCACAGGGACCCGACAGGACAGAGTAGAACTGTCCCATGGGTTTCCTAGGCTGTAATCTCTACAAAGGAGCCCTCGTGGTGTAGTGGTTAAGCACTTAACTGCTAGAGTCACTATGAGTCAGAATCAACGAGAGTAATGGGTAACAGACTCTTTACAATCTTTTCTCCTGCAGAGCAGCTGGTGGGTTCAAACCACCGACCTTTCTGTTAGTAGCCGAGCACTTAACCATTGTGCCATCAGGGCTCCTTGTTGTAAACCATAGTAAGTATCTTTTGCTGTTTATTTCTTAATATGTGCCACCACAGAGCTTAGAAGAGTGTTCTGTAGGAGGCAGGCCCTCTTTAACTGCTGTATTAGAATTTCAAAAAGTATTTGAAAACAAGCCCACTTCTTGCCATTAATTTTCCCTAGTAGCAGGTATAGGTTCTTTTCCTCTCCTGTCTAGAAAGAAAACAGACCAGTCAAGTCCCCTCTAACACCTCAATTTCTATCGAATATGCTAGTGGGATTGGGTGGGGGGGACCGACGGACAGGGGGACACCTACACACACAACCTAGGTAGGCATGCACATCGTAAAACTCCCAAACAGGTCATGAGCATGACAACAGGAATGCTGACTTACAAAAGAGATGAAGTGGAGAACATTTTTCATCGTGTAAGTCCAGTCTGTTAAGACTCTGACTTAAGGTGACTGTGTCATTTATAAACAACATAACAACAACTGATTCCAGTGTTCTAACTAAAACTGACATCATCCTTTCTCTCTTCAAAAGCTGGGTCAAGAGAGTTTAATGGCCCAGACAGAGCTGGAAAAAAATGTAGAACAAAATTCTAACTCACAAAAAAAGACGAGACTTACTGGTCTAACAGAGACTGGAGAACCCTGAGTATGGCTCCCAGACACCCTTCTAATTCAGCACTGAAGTCACTCCTGAGGTTCACCCTTCAGCCAAAGATTAGACAGGCCCGTAAAACAAAACAAGACTAAACTGGCACATTTGCCCAGGGGCAAGGACGAGAAGGCAGGAGGAAACAGGAAAGCTGGTAATGTGGGAAGCCAAGGTCGAGAAGGGGTGAGTGCTGACATGTCGTGGGGTTGGCAACCAATGTCACAAAACAGTATGTGTATTCACTGTTTCATGAGAAACCAATCTGCTCTGTAAACCTTCACCTAAAGCATAATTTAAAAAACAGAGAGTTTAACTGTAAGCTGAACACACAGTGGTTCAAAGCAATGATAAACAATGTTACCAGGAAGAGAGAATGGACCTGAAGTTTGTAGTTTAATGAGCTTGGGTAGCCTGGTGGCGTACTGGATAAAAGCGTGGCTTGCTAACGAAAAGAGCAGCAGTTTGAATCCACCAGCTGCTCCTTGGAATCCCTACAGGGCAGTTCTACTCTGTCCTATACGGTCGCTATGAGTCAAAATCGACTCTATGGCAACAGATTTCGTGGTTTTGTTTTTTTTTTTTTTTTGCTGTTTTCTTTCTATTTGTTTGAGTTCTGTAGTTCATGTTTTGATTTTGTCCCTGACTGGCAAGTTATGGAGGTACAAGATGAGCTGTATCTTAGAGGCTCCAGAGCTCATGGCATGTCTAAGTCCAGGCAGAGGAGAGGGGTTATGGGTGAGAAGATGGAATTCTCCACTGAATACAAGATCTTCCTTATATGTCCTTAGAGTGATATGCATGAGCCAGAAAATTAGCCTGATTCCATTCAAAATTTACTTCATCTACTCCATTTGTTCGGAGTCTGCACTTTGCCATCTGTCACGTAAATGCTCATTATGAGGTGGCTTCCTATGAAAGGTCTTTAGTCCTATGGATGTATTTTTATTTCCAATCCTGTTACAATGATTTTTCATGATGGAATAAATAAAGTAACTTTTGGTTATGATTTGGGTTTCCACATACCTTTCTTACCGGAAGAGAACGTGCTGATCTTTGTCAATATAATACTTCTCCGTGTGACAGTTGTATTTCACACTGTGAATTAATTGATTAAAAGCACAGACTCTGATTAAAAGTCACAAATGCCTGAATTTCAGTTGTGGCTTTAGTATCTGCTAGTTTGTGACCGCAGGAAAATTTCTTGCTATCTTTGTGCCTAAGCTTCCTCATCTATAGAATGAGGCTATGATAACATCCACCTCACTGGATTATCATGAGGAAAAATGAGAAAACATGCAAAATATGTATAAGAGGGACTTACACATAAAATGCCCAACAAATGGTAGCTATTGTTATCTGTATCGTGAGCATTCTGGCTGCTTAGACGGTCTGTTGTGGCCTAATGCTGGCATACGCCATCCAATCCACATTCCATCAGGTGAGATTCTGACCAGCTCCAACCTTTCCCTTAGACCAGGAGTTCTTATTCTAATGGTTAAGTGAGTTTTCAATAATTTTTTATGGAAAATTGCATGAATATGGATTGTGTATATTTTTCTGAGACAAGGGGCCATCAGCTTTCATCAGTTCCTCAATTAAGTACATGGCTCCAGAGAGATTTTGAAAAACAAAATAAAACCCACTGACTTAACATTGGAAACATTACCACCACCACCTTCATCTTTTTCCCCTCTTAAATGATGTCTATTCCTGTTCCTGGACCTTAGTAAGTTACAATATTTAAAAAATATCCTTTCTGCAATGTTATTTCAGTATGATGCTTTCCATTTTTAATAGTGCCAGGTTACTTCCATAGCTTGTGCTACTCTCTGTTTACAATGACTTTTCATCATCTTTGTTCACCTTCAACACCAATGTCCTTCTTCAATCATTCCACTCTTTAATTCATAAAACTAAACCCACTGCCCTGGAGTTGATTTCGACTCATAGTGACCCTGTAGGACAAAGCCGAACTGCTCCATAGGGTTTCCAAAGATATAAATCTTTACAGAAGCAGACTACATCTTTTTTCCACATAGCGGTTGGTGGGTTTGAACTGTCAACCTTTTGGTCAGCAGCCAAGCACTTTAACCACTGCACCACCAGGTGTCCATTAAGATGGGCACATGAATCCATATATTAATGTTTCTCAATCTTGGTATTACTGACTTGTCAGGCAAGATAATTTTTTGTTGTGAGGGGCTGCCCTGTGCTATGCAGGATGTCTAGCAGCATCCCTGGCCTCTAGACGTCGCCAAATGTCCACAGTGAGGGAAGAAGGGCAAAATCAGCCCTGGTTGAGAACTACTGATGTATTATAACACGTATATTTAATTTCCCCCTGCTAAAACAGTAAATTCCTTGAGGACAGGGACTATATATAACCTTTACTTTTATATTCTCAATATCACCTAGTACAATGGTTTGGACAGGTTTAGGTAAGTATTTGTTGTCAGCTAACCTTTCTAAAGTTAGTAGACAGAACATTCTGACTTACTACATACCAAAGATTTCTAGACAGTCATTAAACTTGAAACACTAAATTTCAACCTGTTGAATAAAGCTTCTTGAAAGGCAAAAACTACTATGTCATAACATCTCTACAATTTTCAACAAATACTGTTAGTTACAGTTGTGCCTCAATAGGGATGGTTCTAGCATTATAAAGATTAAGTGGACAATGAACTTCCATATCACAGAGATTACAGCAGTATTCTTTCACTGAGGACTCAGAGAAGAGTAACAGAAACCATCTTTTTCCCTTCAAATATTCTATGAAGTATGAAGTGTTATTATCTCATTTAAATACTCAGACATATTCAAGGCCCAAGTAGTGACAGGGCTAAGATTTCAATCCAAGGTTCCTAAATCAGGGTTAAGTTTCCTAGACTAGTGGTTCTCAACCCTTGCTACATTAGAATCCTCTGCAGAGTTAAAAAGAACAGATCCCTGGGGCCACTCCAGACCAACTAAACTAGACTCAGAGAATGGTGCTGAAGCTTAAAATTGTTTTAAAAACCCCCAGTGGATTCTAATGTGCAGTCACTGCCCTAGACTGGTTCAAACCTCAGGTACCTTGAAAGTTAATATAAAAGGCTATCTATCTTTTAGAAGACCTTAAAATTCCATAGAATGACTGAAATGTATTCTCTAATTTGCTGACTGTTGGCCCTATATGTGAGCGTTTATCCTAAACTAAAATAGCTGCTGTCTTTTTTCTGAGACCATATATTAACAGGAAGCTCATGATGTCATTTTTGGGGTGCTCTCCCAACCACCTCACAGTGTCTGAGTACTTACACTCCTCTTTACTTGGTGAAGTTACATTCAGTTCTGTCGGAAGCGGCTGCTGGCTGGGACTAAGAGTTGGTGTGGTTATCGAGGTATTGTTGTTGTCACTGGTGGTCTCTTCAGAAAACAAATCTGATTGGCTGTTACTTGTACTTGGAGTGGAATCATCATCTGGTTGTTTCTTTTGAAAATCTGAAGAAAAAGAGTGAGAAAATTAGTTTAATTTAAGGAGTTCACAATCTTCTTAGTTACTGACAATGTAAATTAGTATAAAACTTACATGCAATAACCACAATAATAAATACAAATCTGGCTGATAAAAACAAGATAGAAGTAAAACACTACTCAAAAACATACAACAAGACTTCCAGGAAAAAGCAAAACTATCCCTATTCACAGATGATATGATCCTATACATACAAAATCCCAAGGACTCAAAAAGAAAGCTACTGGAACTAATACAAGGATTCAGCAAAGTAGCAGAATACAAGAACAACATACAAAAATCAGTCACATTCCTCTATACCAACAAGAACTTTGAAAAGGAAATCAGGAAAACAACACCATTTCAATAAGAAAACAAAAAAATCCATTGTCATGGAGTCGATCCTGACTCATAGCGACGACCCTACAGGACAGAGCAGAACTGTCCCATAGTTTCCAAGGAGCAGCTGGTGGATTCAAACTGCCAACCTTCTGGTTAGCAGCCGATCTCTTAACCACTGTGCCACCTAGCCAACTCAAAAATAAAGTACTTAGGAATAAATCTAACCAGGGACGTGAAAGACTTATACAAAGAAAACTACAAAACACTACTGCAAGAAACCAAAAAAGACCTACATAAATGGAAAAAGATACCATGCTCATGGATAGAGACTTAACATTGTGAAAATGTCAATTCTACCCAAAGCAACCTATGGATATAATGCAATCTCAATTCAAATTCCAACAGCATTCTTTAATAAGATGGAAAAACTAATCACCAACTTTACATGGAAAGAAAAGAGGCCCTGGGTAAGTAAAGCATTACTGAAAAAGAACAACAAAGTAGGAGAACTCACACTTTCTGATCTCTGAATCTATTACACTGCCACGGTAATCAAAACAGCCTGGCACTGGTACAACAGACACACAGACCAACGGAACAGAATTGAGAACCCAAAAGTAAATCCATTCACCTATGGATAGCTGATCTTTGACAAAGGGCCAAAGTCCATTAAATGGGGAAGAGAGTCTCTTTAACAAATGGTGCTGGCAAAACTGGATATTTATCTGAAGAAAAATGAAATAGGACCCATACCTTACACCATATACAAAAACTCACTCAAAATGGATCAAAGACCTAAATATAAAGCCTAAAACTATAAAGATCACAGAAGAATAAATAGGGACAACCCTAGGGGCCCTAATATATGGCATAAACAGTATACCAATCACAACTAAAAAGACCAGAAGATAAACTAGATGAATGGGACCTCCTAAAAATTATGCTCATAAAAAGACTTCTCCAAAACAGTAAAAAGAGAACCTACAGACTGGGAAAAATTTTGGGGCTATGACATATCCAAAAAGGTGTTAATCTCTAAAATTTATAGAAAACTTCAACACCTCAACAACAAAAAGACAAACAATACAATTGAAAAAATGGGCAAAGAATATGAACAGATACTTCTCCAAAGAAGACATTCGGGCGGCTAACAAACACATGAAGAAATATTCACAATCATTAGTCACTAAACCAAAAAAAAACCAAACCCATTGCCCTCAAGTTGACTGCGACTCACAGCAACCCTACAGCCACTAAAACCCAATGCCATTGAGTTGATTTCGACTCTATCGCCACTAGAGAGATGCAAATTAAAACTATAATGAGATACCATCTCACCCCAACATCAATGGTACTAATCAAAAAACAGAAAACAAATGCTGGTGAGATTAGAACTCATACACTGCTGGTAGGAATGTAACATAGTACAAACACTATGGAAAACGATATGGCGCTTCCTTAAAAAGTTAGAAATAAAATACAATGTGATTCAGCAATCCCACTCTTAGGTATATACCCTAGAGAAGTTTTAAGTCGTGACACCAATAGACATATGTACACCCATTTTTGTTGCAGCATTATTCACAATAGCAAAATGTTGGAAACATCCTAAGTGCCCATCAATGGATGAATGGATAAACTGTGGTATATACACACAATGGAATACTATGCAACAATAAAGAATAATGACAAATCCTCGGAACATCTCACAACATGGATGAATTTGGAGGACATTATGCTGAGTGAAATAAGCCAATCATAAAAAGACAAATACTGCATGAGACCACTATTATAAAAAAACAAGAAAAGATTCACATATAGAGGGGAAAAAAAAGCATTCTTTGATGGTTACCAGGAAAGGGAGGGGAGAGAGGGTAAAGTACTAAATAGAAGACACGTGGTAATACGGGGCAAGGGAAAGGCAATACACTGTACGGGGGAAATCAGTACAACATGACAAAGGCAAAGGAAGACACTGAGAGGAACACAAGAACTAACAGCAACTATTGCAATTACTGTAACAGACAATCTGCAACAACAGTATTAACAAACAACAATTTATGAAGGGATACACAGGTAGATAAGTATGCTAAAGAGGCATGGGAGGATGTAAGCGGGCGTACCCACCTGCAGATATAGGTTAGGTCACGGATATCTCTACAGATATATTTGTAGATGTTGCATGTATACTAATATAGACAATAGAATACACAAGGAGCACAGTTATGGAAACTTCTTAGGCACAACTAAACAATTCCTGGGATGAAGATACTAGGCTTGAAGATTAAGGACCACAGACTGGGGGCCATATATGTCAACTGGCATAACATAGTGCATAAAAACAATGTTCTACATCCTACTTTGGTGAGTAGCATCTGGGGGTCTTAAAAGCTTGCAAGCGGCCATCTAAGATACAACTCGTGATCTCTTCCTGTTCAGAGTAAAGGAGAATGAAGATTCAAGGGGGCAATTAGTCCAAAGGACTAATAGACCACACGCACCACAGCCTATACAACCTCGAGACCAGAAGAACTAGATGGTGCCCAGCTACTACCATCGACTGCTCTGACTGGGATCACAACAGAGGGTCCCAGACAGAGCAAGAGAAAAATGTAGAAAAAAGAATCAAATTCATAAAAAAACAAAAAAAGCAGACCAGACTTACTGGCCTGATAGAGACTGGAGGAACCCCCTGACTTGGAATTGCAGCCATTTCCAGAAGCCATCTTCCAGCCAAGCAATAGACAGGCCTATAAGATAAACTATAACACCCGAAAAGAACGTACTGGGTAGAACAAACAATTATATGAGACCAAAAGGGCAACATTTGCCCAAAAGCAAAGATGAGAAGGCAGGAAGGGGCAGGGAAACCAGACGAAAGGCAATGGGGAACCCAGCGTGGAAATGAGGAGAGTGTTGATACAATGTGGGGATTGCAACCAATGTCATGGAACTTTTTGGTGTATAATTTATTGAATGGGAAGCTGATTTGCTCTGTAAACTTTCACCTAAAACACATAAAATATTAAAAAGAAAAAAGTATCAGTTTTGTATTTTCATTATAAACATAAGATATGTTCATTACAGACAATTTAGAAAACAGAGGAAAAATTTTAAGAAAAAAGCGTGAATATTTTGATACATTTCCTTCCATTTTTTTCTAGGTATTTTTTTTTAAAGCTGTGTTCCTAAAGTGAACATATACTTTTTTTGTATTTAAAAAAGCAGTCCATGCTCATTGTGAAAAATTCAAAATACACCTGTCATGGATTGAACTGTGTCCCCTAAAAATATGTGTCAACTTGGTTAGGTCATAATTCCCAGTATCGTGTGGTTGTCCTCCATTCTGTGACTGTAATTTTACGGTGAAGAGGATTAGGATGGGATTGTAACACCCTTACTAAGGTCATATCCCTGATCCAACGTAAAGGGAGTTTCCCTGGGGTGTGTCCTGCACCACCTTTTATCTTACAAGAGATAAAAGGAAAGGGAAGCAGGCAGTACCCAGAGCAGAGCATGCCCTTTGGACCTGGGGTCCCTGTGCGTGAGAAGCTCCTAGACCAAGGGAAGACTGATGACAAGAACCTTCCTCCAGAGCCAACAGAGAGAGAGAGCCTTCCCTGCAGCTGACACCCTGAATTTGGACTTCTAGCCTACTAGATTGTGAGAAAATAAATTTCCCTTTGTTAAAGCCATCCACTTGTGGTATTTCTCTTACAGCAGCACTAGATAACTAAGACAATACCAAAGAGTATAGAATAAAACATTAAAAGTCTTCTGTTTGTCAAACCCCTACTGCCACACTCCTCTCAGAGGCCATCATTATTAAAAAGTTAGTATGTAGCTTTGCAGACCTATCCTATGCATAAACAAACATATTATTCTACAGTTAATATATATATATGAAGCTGGTAGAGGGTGACTGGAGTTAAAGCTTCCCAAGGTCCTTGTACTGTATCCTTAATATTGTTCAGAAGAATGGTAGACATACTGATTTTAATGTTAGACTTTGCACGTTAAAATTTTAAGTGTAATCAGTAGAACCCTGGAAAAAAGGAATAAAGAAAAGTTATTCCAATAGAAGATAGGTAAGAAGGAAAAAGACAGCAGAGAAAAAAGCACAGTAAATAGAAAACATAAAAAGATGGTAGAAATAAATACAAACGTATCTGCAATGGTAATAAATGTCAACAGACTAAATTTACCAGTTAAAAGAGAGGAAAAAAAATCCAGATTGAATAAACAAAATCCAGTTATATATAGTTTACAAGAGACACACTAAAAACATAAGGATAAAGGAGATTTTAAAGTGTATAAAAAAATACAGCAAATATAAATGAACAGAAAGCCAATAATAGCTATAGTACTGTCAGAAAATGTAGAGTTTAAGGCAGAAAATGTTATTTATAAAGAGGATAATCATATAATGGTAAAAAAAAAATTCATCAGGAAGATAAAATAATTCTAAATCTATATGCACCTATTAAAAGCACCTCAAAATATGCAAAGTGAAAATGGTTGTATTTATGAAAAACTGACAAATTTACTATTATAATGGGAAGATTTTAACATACCTAGCCTCAGACAAAATAATGAGTCAAATTAGAGAAGATTAATAAGCATACATAGACCCCTGTACCCAACA